GTAATGATTGCAACCAGTGCAATTATATTCTGTCTTTAGTTGAGTGCTGTTTCAAAGGGCTGTTTAACAAAAACTAAATTCTTACTTGTCTTATTAGTCAGACACAGCCCAAAAATGAAAAGATTCTAACATTTCTCTCTCTTTCTCTTTCTTATCCTTTTGTCCTCAGATGTGTCCTCCTGCCTCTGCTGAGCGTTAAGCCTCCTCAGCAGTCTCTCTTCCTGATGGTGGACTCCATCGATGAAGGCTGTCAGCTGGGTGAGGGGGAGCAGAGGTCCTCCCCCGGCTCCCCCAGGACCATCGCTGAGCTCCTGGCCTGTCATCACGAGTTCCTGCCTCCCTGGCTGCTCCTCATCTGCTCCGCACGACGACAGAATAAGGCCATTACTAAACTGTTCACAGGTAAACAGCCCTGCTTCCCTCCTCAATGTGTTACTCTGTCGGTCAATTTTGGTCATTATTATTACTGTAAGTGAAGAGGTTGTATCTAAAATGATTTATGGTGTCATATGTGGCATCAGTTAAAAATAATTGTGATGCCTTAATCATAACTGAACTGACTACAAAAAGACAGTTTAATAGATGAGACCTGTCACAACTGCTCCGTGCTTGTTTCCTCTCATTTTTCTGTGCTAAATGTGAAACATTTCACCTGAAAATGCGGTTACAAACAAAGCCTGCAGCAGTTCCTTTGCTGCTGGAACAGTACAGATGCAAATGTCTTAGTAACATCACGACATGCCCATCACGACATGCCCAAAGAGATAAGGGTCCCCATTAAAGACCTCTGTAAGAGTTGCATCGCTCCCTTGATGTCCTCTGACACTGTACCATACCAGCTGCTATTATCTCCCTGTCAGTCCTGCAGCCTACTCTGTGGTGATGAGCTGGCATAACATTAATCAAGAACCTGACTGTGTGGGAGGAAGTCTCCTCCGCAGACTCGCACTGCTGTGTGTACCCTCTCTACCTTCCCAAAACCACCGAATGTGGGTGCTTTTCGAGCCTTCGGCTTGCCTCTCCAACCATTATGTAATATCCCAGCAGTCTAAGCAATCGTTGCTGTGCTCCCCCTTAATAGATGTATGGAGTCAGGTAATCTATCGCTATAGTACACTGTCTCAGGGAACTGTAATATTCTATTTACATTTTTGGACTGTAATTTGTCACATACACATTTTCTTGTCTTATAAGATGACAAAAAGTGACAATGTGGCATAGAGACACAGGTCTTGTCTTGGACTTTGTTTTGTCTTCTAGGTCAGTGGTTCCCAACCTTTCTCCTTAAGGGCCCCTTTTCTGTCATTGACTAAACTGGATATTTCATATTATATTCAATGCATAAAAATAACATTAGAGAACAACTAATGAACTGTTAAATGAACCCAGATAGTGAATATAGTAACAGCAGGAGGTTTATGTAAAACAAGTGATTTGGATGAATTTCAAGCAGATTATTTCCTGAGTATTGCACCAGAGATGAGAGTGCCTGATATTTTTAGGAACTTTTTATACAATTTTGTCTGTATCGTGCATTATTTTCCTTTTTTTTTTAAAACATTCAAACCTACTTAATAGGCTTCCTGAGATATAGGCCAACTGTATATATTTTTAAAGTTGTACAAATCTTAAAAATCAAGATGGTCTCGGAACCCACTTTGTTGACCCCTAGTGGGAGCTAGGTTAGGAACCACTGTTCTTGGTGGCGTGGCTCATGTTGTGTGTCATCATGTAGGAATGATGCAAAGTTAAGAGGTTTCGAAGCTGCTGCATTGTGTAGAGCAGCCAAACTAGTCCAAATATATAACTGCAGAATGGCATCATTTATTGCAAAACACCAGTTTGAGTTTAATCAAATTTAGTATTTTTTATACTGTTTCCAATGTCTGAGCTCCTGTGTTAAAGACACTTAACATTATATTTATAGCTCAAATAGAGTGAATGCAGCTGTGAGGAAGGCAGCATCCATCAGTTGGTTCCAACTGCTGTGGTCCAGTTCAGAGTAAAGAGCCACATGGATCTAAGAGGTCACTAGCAGGGATTTTCAGACTTAGTGTCTCTTAAAATGGTTGTCACTTGTGTATTGATTGGGTATAATTTCACCATTATCAGAGCAGCTGTCTCTCATTAGAGTGACTGTTATGTGTTTGCATCTTAACTCAACAGTATAGTTTGAAAGTAGGTTGTAAATGATTGGGTGCAGTGTGAGGGATTAAGTGAAATCTTAAGTGTAGGCGTCAGACTGGTGTAAGTGTAGTTTAGATGAGTGTAGAACTGAATGGTGTTGACAGTGACATCG